GGCTGCGCTCGGGCCTCTCCGCCAGGACTATCTTCCCGAGGCCGCCCGGCGCGCCCAGCTTCGCCCGGAGGGTGCGTCTGAGCTGACTGTGAGGGGAGGGGGACACCCTGTGCCGCGCGGCTGGGGAGGGGGAGGAGGAGGAGGAAGGGGAAAGGGTGTGCTGGCACCCGCCGGCTGGGGACAGGGGCTCACTCCATGTTTGTTCAGGGGCGGAGGGCAGGAGGTCGTGCGGGAGCCGCAGCTCTCCCCTCAGCCGCTCCGGCCCGCCCGTGTGTCTCACGGCTGTCTCAGAGCCGTGCGTTTATTCGGTTTTCCCTGCTCCAGAGCTGGTCTGCTCCTCTGGCTTACTTGTTCAGGTTGTTGCTCTGGAAATTCACCTCTAGAGCTCCGGGAGCTTTCAGTGAAGCTTTCTTACAGCACTCTTAAACCTCTGCGTGTTCAGGGCAGGCGCTCAGGTCTTGTGTAGAGGCTGGGGGGGGGCCTGCGAGAGGTCACGATATCGCTTCCACCCCAGTGGAAGTGGGGGCGCTAAGGTGAAAACTAAATAGTTGTTAACAGCCTTAACACGTGACGGTTGTGTGACTAAATGTTGAAGGATGTTTGTCTGTGTCAGTCAGGTATGCTTACTGCTACAGCGTATGTGTCCCTCGAGCAGATGTTTGTTTCTGTGGAGTTCTCTTAGTAGTGAGATGTGAATAATTAACTTTGAAATCTGCTGTGACTCTGTAATGAGAAAACAAGAGAAGACTATTAGAGTATTTCTTTTTCCTCTGTGTAGTTAAAATTTATTTTTTTTGTATACCAGCTGGAAATAAAAACTTGAAATAAACAGTAATGGCAACACTGTTATCCCTAGGATTTGAAGATGCCAAAAAAGAAACTGAAGAAATTAACTGAAGAGGAAGACTGTTCGGATGACCAGGATGATGAAGTAGGATCAGCTGTATTGTTACTGTTAACATTTTATTTCAAACCCCCACGTTCAAGAGAAGAGTGTGAATTGTTTAGCAGCCTTGTGATAGAAGGATGAATCCAATTTAAAGGTGGTGTCATTAAGAACAGCAGGAGGGTTGAATTGGTCAGATAAGGCAAGTTCTAGTCTGATAATTAACTTATGTTTTTCTCCAGAAGCTGTGAGTAGTGTGCATATCAGAAAATAACATTTTTTAATTACTATTATTTTAGTAAATCTTCCTGGTAGAGGAATGTTGAGCTTAAAACTGTTAGCAAAACCACTACTGTTCTCCTGGGTTGTTTTTTATCTTGGATCATATATCTTAATTTCATGTTTAATCACAAATTGTACTTTGCAGCATTTTTGCAAGCACTTCTCAAATACTTCCTTTTAATTACTGAGGCTTAAGTCAGTGACAGAAGTTTTTTGTATCCTCTGATACATAGTTGTATCTAGTGAGAAGCTTTCACTGAGTCACTTGTAAAATGCAGGTGCTACAGGGGTTATCTTTCTGGTCACACTTAAATATAGCTTCCCGTTCTTTTTATTGTTTGTATTCTCTTCTGGGAAGCTATTTCCTGCTTATTCCTGTAGTGTAATATGTACCTTATAAACCAGTAGTTGAATAAATCCACACTTAAGTTTGCTAGATTTCCACCCCCCCCTTGGATTTTGCAAGGTATTGTTAAAGAAGTGCAATCTGAACCCTAGGTTTCCTGAAGCGGGTCTCAGGCATCGAATCTCATGAAAACAGATAATTTAGTAGAATGGTACTGCAGCAGGGTCAGCTTGGGATGGGTGCCTCTGGAGCAGGACCCCCTCAGTTATTGCCCTAGGCTTTTTAAAGCCTCACAGCTCATTGCATCAGCTCTTCATGCTCCCACAACAGGCGTTCTGTCTGTTGTCTGATCACACTGGTTACCAGTTACTTGTTTTCTTCTGTTGTTGAAGTCTTGGTGTGGGTGACTTCACCTGCTTATACAGTTCTAAAATCTGTGTTCCATCTGCATGTGGAGCTCATCCATCTTCTGCTGACTTCAGGTAGAACGGGGTCTTTCTTTTTTTCCCTTGAATTACAGTTCTTTTCCTTTGATCATAAGGATCACTTTAATTTGTAATGCTAAGCACACAGTCTTCATTAACAGTATTTATAAAATCTCATTGCGTTAGCTCAGTAACAATACATCAGAGTCATACAAACCTACTCCCAGCCATTCTTGTTATGACTATGAAAGAGTTCAGCCTAAGTTCACCCATCTCTAGGTCACAGCTTGTGGCCTAAGGCTTCAGCAATAGGCTGCTCATGCTAAGCAAGTTGCCTACAAACATTAACATAATTAGAATAGTCAGGGTTAAGATTACTTTAGTTCCCAACAGGTATATGGGAAATGAGAGCTTGTAATTGTCTTATCATTAATGTCCCAAAAAATGCTTGGAAGTGTTTATAAATGGGCATGATATTATGGTTTTATAAACTGAGTTATACATGTTAGAAGCCTTTTGCTCATGCACAAAATGTTTAAAGCCAAGTATTTGTAACTATATTTTTTTTTTGTCTCCAGTTCCTTATTATTTTAATTAGCCTTTTAACATTAACTTGTCCTAAGGTGTGTTGACTTTTTGTTTTTTTATTTCTGCAATACAAAGGGTAAAAACTTAGCTCAGAGCCTCATACTGCAGCTGTACCGTTGTTGCTAATGCCTACACCAGTTTGAAGAATAAAGAGTTTTAATGGTTGTGTGACTTTAGTGTGAGACAGCATTAAATATTGCTGTAGGCAGACACTGACCAGGGCAAGCAGCAGTGAGAACCCAAACTAATAACAGGAAAAAGATAAGGAAACTTCTGAATAGCAGCAGTTGTTTCTTCAGTGTGATCACGATATAGCTGAGAGATACCTTTGGCTCTTCCAGGTGAAAGGGAGCCACTTAAGTAGAGTCATATTAAGGTATGACTCTGGGGGTCTTTGGTGTTTTTTTGTGTGTGGTATAAGCATGACCACAGATTACAGAAAACTTCATGCCTGTTGGCTTTTAGCACTTTGGCATATAATTCTGTAACTGTGAGTGAAAGGACATGTGTCACTGTCTAAATTAGAACTACTTTATGCAGAGCTTTTTGGAGGAGTTGGCACAGCTGCCTTGTGGAAATGTGGCCTGGATAACACTGGGGGTGATATGGTAGCCGTGGGATTGTGGACAGGACACCAGAACCTGTCTGCTCCAAGAGGACATTTATCCCAAACTGATAATGATGAGAGGAAGGTAACAGTAATGAAGTTCACTTAAGATGACCAAATTAAGTCAAAGTCAGGGAATTGTTAAGAGACTTTTGAGAAAAGGAGCTATGCTGAAAAGAAATACTAAACCCAGGAAAACTCATGGTTGTAGAGGCCTTGAAGAGAGAAAGCAGTAACTGTGCAGCAGTCAAGCTGGGCTTTGTAGTGGCAGAAGCTGTCCCACTAGCATCAGGACTTGCAGCTACCCTGCTGGAGCACCTTCCCTGCTGGGTGCTCTGTAGCTTGTTCCAGCTGGTGGGGTGACAGCCGGGGGGAGCACGCCGTGGGTGTGGGTGTGTAACCTGGTGGGGGCCGTTCCCAGCGGCGTGTGCCTCGCAGGCTGCGGGGAGCGGTGCGGCCGGGGCGCCGGGTCCTGGGCAGCACCAGCAGACGGGGGCCCAGGTGTGCCCTCTGCCTGCCTCGGATTAAAACTCCCTGGGATAGTCATCTGAGCTGGGATCAGTTTGTAACAGACTGCTATTGTAGTTTTGCTCTTGTATACAGATCATTGATTGCCAGCTAATTGAGTTGTTAATAAACCAATAAAGCACTTTGATTCTTCTTTGATTATAATCACGTGAGTTGAACAGGTGTTTCCACAGCAAGTTGCTTCAGTATGATTCTCAGTGGTAGCAGCCTTTAACAGCTGGAGCAGCTCTCCTATGAGGACAGACTGAGAGAGTTGGGGCTGTTCAGTCTGGAGAAGAGAAGGCTCTGAGGTGACCTTATTGTGGCCTTCCAGTATCTTAGGGGGGCCTACAAGAAAGCTGGGGAAGGACTTTTTAGGCTATCGAGTAACAACAGAACTAGGGGGAATGGGGCAAAGCTGGAAGTGGGCAGATTCAGGCTGGATGTGAGGAAGAAGTTCTTCCCCATGAAAGTGGTGAGACCCTGGAATGGGTTGCCCAGGGAGGTGGTTGAGGCCCCATCCCTGGGGATCTTTAAGGCCAGGCTGGATGAGGCTCTGGGCAGCCTGATCTATTGGGAGGTGTCCCTGCTCATGGCAGAGGGGTTGGAACTGGGTGATCCTTGTGGTCCCTTCCGACCTTGACAGATTCTGAGCTGTTTTAGCAGAGGACTTTAGAGCCCTAATAGCTTAATGGTTGGACTTTTTTTACCCCTAATAATCTTTATAAGCATATGAGAGCATGTATTTTTGCATACTGATATACTTGTAGAGTATATGAAACACACAAATCCTAAGCGTGTCTAAGTATTTGAGTTTTCTCTATAACCCGGGACTGTGTGCCACATTCACTTTTCCCCCCTTGTGTTCATAAATACAACAAAATCTGAATACTAAATTATAGCAAGATACATGGCTGCCTTTTTCAAGGTTAATTTATTCACAATCGTAGTGAATCTAGTATGAAATAATAGCTTATTCCATTTCATGAAGATTTTTTTGCTGTAATTTGCTCTTGGATTTTTTCCTTCTTTCAGAAACCTGAAGACAGAAGATCTTGTCACCGTACTATGAGAGAAGATGGAGAACTTCAGAGGTAAATTCTTGCTCTACCACTAAATGGAACTACTTAAAACAATTGCAAACTGGATTTAAGAATTTTGCTCAAGTTGTTCACCAAACAAAATACAGTGTTTTAACTAATGAAGTGTTGGTAGTGCACTCATGAATGGATTCTGTCTGAGCTGGGCAGTTCAAGGTAATTGAGAAGACAGGGTTCAGAATTTTTTTTATAACTCTAATATCTGCTAATAAACTTACAATAAGGTAGGAATTATATCCTTCAAACTATACTGTTGTTAAAAGATCATGTGGGGTTTTTTTTTGTCTTAAGCACTACCTCCTTGCTCTGTATGGCATATTACGTGTTTTGTTAGCAAACAAAAGGTGCCACTGAAGTCTGGAGGGTAGTTCTGCAGAGAACTTAGTACCTTAAATAGGTTCCTATAGTCCTGAGATCCTTGGTTTCTCCTGATATGTGAAGCAATTGATTCCTAGGCAAAGTAAGCAATCTTTCACCTTGAGTGTAGCAAATGTCAACAGTGTTTGAAAACTGCTGCTTGTAAACTGAGAATGGTCTCATGAATCCCGAGACGGAAAAGCTTTGGATTGTTTCCTAACTGTGGCAAAATCGTGTTGTGCTTTCTGTTAGACTGGAGTTGTAACTCATCAGCTAATTAGCTGTGTGTACACGTGCTGTTGAGCACTGTTTATTAGCACAGTATGATACTACCATAAACCAGGAACTGTGTTCATGCCAAAATTCTGTCCAGACCTGTACCCGTCCCTGCAGTGGCCAGTGGGGCTTGTGTGGGAACCAGTGTGTGAAACAGGTGACCTGGCAGTGCTGGGTTCATGGTTGGACTCGATGATCTTAAACATCTATTCCAACCGAAACGACGCTGTGGATTTTCCTGCGGGACACCCTCTCGGCCTCTAAGGATAAGCTTGATGCCAATCAGTGCATCTATGTTGCCTGTCCTACATGAGTTTGTCAGATGGCATTTACCTCACCAGCATTTTTAAAAACACTGTTATAGAGTAGGGTAAACACTTTCTTTGGACATTCTAAACCTAGTTTATGATAAATTTTAGTTGTTTTTTTTTCTCTGCTCTTATAGGAAAGCTTCCTATTCAGTGTTCATATCGTTCATATGGTGGCCAGTCACAAGTGGTGTTCCCCAAGGCTCAGTATTTGGATCAGTGCTGTTTAATTTCTTTACCAATGAACTGGACAAGGGGATTGAGGGCTCTGTCAGTAAGTTTGCAGACAGCACCAAGTTGGGTGGGATTGTTGATCAGCTTGAGGGTCAGAAAGATCTACAGAGGGACCTGGACAGGTTGTATGGATGGGCCAAGGCCAACGAGATGATGTTCAGCAGTGCCAAGAATTGGGTCCTGCTCTTGGGTCACAACAACCTCCTGCAACACTCCAGGCATGGGGAAGAGCAGCTCAAAACTGCTCGTCAGAAAAGGCCCTGGGGGTGTTGGTCGACAGCTGGCTGAATATGACCCAGGGTGTGTCCAGGTGGCCAAGAAGGCCAACAGCATCTTGGCTTGTATCAGCACTAGTGTGGCCAGGGGGACTAGGGCAGTAGTGGTTCCCCTGGACTCACCGCTGGTGAGGCTGCATCTTGAATACTGGGTTCAGTTTGGGGCCCCTAATTCCAAGAATGACATTGAGATGCTGGAGTGTGTCCAGAGAAGGGGAATGAAGTTGGTGAGGGGTCTGGAACACAAGTCTTGTGAGGTGCAGCTGAGGGACCTGGGATTGTTTATCCTGGAGAAGAGGAGGCTCAGGAGAGACCTTCTCATTCTCTACAACTCCCTGAAAGGAGGTTGGAGTGAGGTGCGTCATTCTCTTGTCCCAAGTAACAAACTAGAGGACAAGAGTAAACGGCCTCAAGTTGTGCCAGGGGAGGTTTAGGTTGGACATTGGGGAAAATTTCTTTCCCGAAAGGGCTGTTAAGCCCTGGCCCAGGCTGCCCAGGGCAGTGGTGGGGTCCCTGTCCCTGGAGGGATTGAAAATCCGTGTAGGTGTGGTGCTGAGGGACATGGCTTAATGATGACCCAGCAGTGCTGGGTTAATGGCTGGACTCGATCTGAAAGGTTTCTTCCAACCAGAACAATTTTATTGTTTCTGTGGAAAGTTACTATATTCCCATCAGTTGTTCCTGTTCCAAATTCTGCAGTCTGTTTATCCTGCACTGTTTGAAAACTGTTTGGCACTGTGCGACCAAGCTGAACTGCTGCACACTCCAATTTGAGGGTGACACGCCTCATGTATCATTAGACTGCAGTTAAAACTTACCTAAGTGGTAAGGTGAAACTCGACTTTGTAGGGCATCTCTCAAACCAATAAACAGGGAATGCATGAAAAGCTTTTTCTCAGTTTTGTAAACTAATATGGCTGTACAGGGAGGGAAACTGTAAATAAATTAAAAAAAAAAGCTGTATCTAACTATTTTGACAGACAGGTGTTGCTGTAAATTCATATTTAAGGACATGACAAACTGGTACTCATAAATACTTAGCTGTAACTGCCTAAATCAACTGCAGGCCTGTTTATTTCTTTGTTATGTTCTTTTACATTACTTTTTTGTAATGTTTCTATAGTTCCAAAATAAAGAAAGATGGGGAAGCGAAGAAGCAAGACCAAAGTTCTCAGATTCCTCATGGTGCAGATGGAAGATCCCAAGGAAAATCTCCAAACGGATCTCAAGAAAAGTCTCCAAGTAAAAGCACAACCACAGACAATTCTTTAACCCAAAAGAAAGAGCAAACGCAAATTCTTATCCAAATTAAATCCAAAGGAATTAAGCAAGGAAAAATTATGTACGCTCCTGATGTGGTGACTACTAGAGGGGCAAGAAAGAACAAAAGTCGTTTTGATGGAAAAGAAGGGAAAAAACTCTGGCATAGCTTTGAACTTCAGAGGGACAAGGCACGGAAAAAAAAGGCAGAGAAAACTGAACTCTGCAAACTGAAGCAAAAACCAGAAAAAAACATGCTGGAAAAGTGTAAGTTATCTGCATACAATTCACGTGTACCACGTAAAAAGGCCGATGGCTCAAGAAAAAGAAGTGAAGATGTCAGAATTCCAGTGAATCCATCTGACACCTTGCCAGGGACTGGACGTGGTGATAGGTCTTCCGCTAAGAAGTCATATACATTACGCAGGCCTTGGGAGGAAGAGTATGAAGAGGAATATGAGAAGTTTTCTAAGGAAAAACACTCTGTGGATGAGCATACTCCGTCACACCGTTCAACTGGGAGAGCACGATGCTGGGGCTCCTGTAAACGGAAAAGAACAGACACTGATTCTGATAAAGCTGCTGGTCGTTCAGGGGCTGATGAAAGGGACTTGGAAGCCCCAGCGTTGTGTCTTACGCAGGTAATGTAAACCCAGTCCTTTGTATTATGCAGGTACACGTTTCAGGCTCGTTTCTGAATGGCAGGCAGGTTTTATACAAGCAGACCACCTTCTTACGGATTTCAAATGGGATTTCATAGCTAACTACATGGATTTTTCTGATCTCAGTGTAAACCACAGTAAAATGTTCCTCTGCTTTGCTGAATGGTTAAACAACCTAGAAGAATAAAGGTCTTGCATAATAGGACTGTGTCTGCACAATACCCTCTTATAGCTTTGCTTTGCTGCTGGTGGTGTGGAATACTTCAATTTAGGTATTTGTTTTGAGCTGACACGGTTGTATCATTTTTTGAATGAATAACCTGAACCAATGAAAACTTGCCTACCAAACAGATGCTCATTGCTGGCTAAGTGATGACAGGAGAACTTGTAAATCTAGGACTAAATTTGTTGATTTGCTGCAGAACTTCACCTTTGGCTATGATTTGTTTCCAAATTGTAGCTTGTGTTTGACCCTGCACCTCAGCTTTATCTTGAGTGTGGTTACTTTGTTGTTGTTGCTCCATTTAACAGGCCTAGACTTTGTGGAGCTTGCAGTTCCTGCTAGGGTAGTGCAATCATTTGGTGTGTGCACAAAGTTAGCAATGGCATACAGAATGATGGAATTGTTGAGGTTGGAAGGCATCTGTGGAGATACCTCGTCCAGCCCCCTTGCTCAAGCAGGGTCGCAGATTGTGGGCACTGTGTCCAGGTGGTATGTTCAGATGGAATTTGCTGTGTTTCACTTCATGCCCAATGCCTCTTGTACTGGCACAGAGCACTGCTAAGAATCTGCTTGTATCTTCTCTACACTCTCACATCAGATATTTATAAACACTGATAAGACTCTCCCTTCTCCAGGCCAAACTGTCCCAGCTTTCATCCTTGTGTATGACATGCCCCAGACCTTTAATCATCTTAGTGACCCTTTGCTCAATTCACTCCATTAAATTCATGCCTCTCTTGTACTGAGAAGCCCAGAGCAAGGATCACAGTCACAAACCCACAAGAGGAAAAACAGGCTTACAGTGTACACCTCTATATTTATTTTAAACAAAAGCTATCCTAAGCCCTTTTGACTGGAGGTGCTTCATCATGGATATTGAAAGTAGGTTTTATGTTGCCATTCAGTTCACCTGGGAATGTTCACTGTTCTCTCAAAAGCACTCTAAAAGGCTGATATGTGTTGTTCTCCTGTTCCTACTTGCTTCTAGAATTTTGAGGTCCCGTGCACATCTGACTCCTACCAAGAAGGTGAGGACATAAAATCTGTCCAAAAGGTGAGTGATGTACTTTTTTTAACAGTAAAGAACTTTATTTTGAAGCTCTTGACATGGGGATCACTTGTTCCTGAGCCTTCTTTGACATTTTGTGTGATAGTTTGTTTTCTTTTTTTCAATTCTTTCTACAGAGCTTTGTGGTCTCTTCACCCCCTCAAGATAGTCAGAACCCAGAAACAGACCAAGAGGTTAGTACTGCTTCAGTTTAACACTTCTAGGTTGCATTAAAATGTTACGCCACCAAGGCTGTGTAGCTGGATAATTCCATGACCTTTCCTAGTAGTTTGCATTGTTGCCTTACGATCTACACTTAAAAAATGTGGAGCGTTTTTTTCTCACATAGTAAACAAACTTGGTAAAGTGCTGCTAAGCAAGAACTTTCCGAGGCAGAAAGGTCATCTTCCTGTTATTCCCTACAACATGGGGAGGCCTTCATAGTCGCTTACATACTCTAGCTGTCTTATTTTCCATCCTCTAACCTTCAAGTTGGAAAAGAGACTTTTTTTTTTTTTAAGAAAACTCTGTTCAAAGACTTGTGGTCTATGGTGAAAAAAATGGAATAAAGTTTTTGGGTACTGAGTAGAAAGGTCATAAACAGATCTTCTTTCTACACCATATTTGTGGAGTACTTATAGCAGAGGATGTGCAGTTTTACATTTGCTGTACCAACTTAAAGTTTTTTATGCTTTGCTTTTAGTCTGTTTTAACACAACAGCATGAACATATAGTAACTCTTTGGGGAACAATTCATTAGTGATTACTTCCAATTTCATGCGTGCAAATTTTTTTCATTGTAGATGCAGATAGTAGAAGATTTGCATGTTGCTCGTGCTGGGAAGAGAATGGTGCTATCTGTAGTACAGACATGTGGAAAGCTTACAAGTATGGAAATAGATCTTCCAGAACCAGATTTAAATATTTCTGCTGGTAGGTCATTATTTGATGTTCTGTGGTACCTACTTAGAGTTAGTTATTATAGTTGGTTAACGGTCTGAGCACAACTGATTTTCCTTTTTTTTTTTTTTTTTCCCCCCAGAGACTTTTGCTTCTGGTCTGAACATATTAGTGGTGATTGACACAAATATAATGATTAGTCACCTTGAGTTTGTCAGATCTCTGAAGTCCGAGGAAATACCAGGTATGTGAATACATATAAAGGCAGAAGGGTCACGCTTGGGAGGCTGGTTCTGTGAACCCAAACAGGTGGCTGCTTAAGGAAAGTTTAGCTATGAAAGTAGAGCCTACTATACTTGTAGCTACAGAGAATCATGGAATCATAGAATTGTTCTGATTGGAAGAGACCTTTAAGGTCAAGTCCAGCCATTAACCCAGACCTGCCAGGTCACCACTAAACCATGTCCCTCAGTACATCTACATGGCTTTTCAGTCCCTCCAGGGATGGGGACTCCATCACTTCCATAACCCTTTCAGGGAAGATCTTTTTCCTCATGTCCAACCTAAACCACCCCTGATGCAACTTGATGCCATTTCCTTTTGTCCTGTTGCTTGCTATATGGGAGAGGAGGTACATAAGTCTTACCTATTGTAAGAACATCCTTTTAAGCATTTAATCCATTACTAGTGGTAATGTTTTCTACTCTATTTTAAACATTTTTTTTTAACTAGAAATTTGAAAACATAAAATCTAATAAGAATCAGTGAGTGCTTTATTTCTGCCTTGATGAAGGTCACCGATATCATGAGATGTGTGAGCAGTTTCTCAGGAATTCAGATTGCAGACCCTGGGCTTTAACAGTTGGCTTTAATATGCTGTGAAGCTTTTAGTGATTGAATGTGAGCAGGATTAGGATTGTGCGTGTCAGTTGTTGGTAGCCATATTTGGAATATTTAGGGTGCTTTGATCCTTTCAGCTAATGAATCCACTTGCTCCAGCCACCTAGAAAATAGTAAAGACCTGGTTAATTTTAAAGAGTGTATCAGACATTTCTTATTTCCATATTAGGAACAGTGTTGTCTTGTGCACACTGGGATGCCTCTATTACAAAATTGCAGCTCCCAGTTTCTGGTCCTGCACCAGACCAGTTATGTTCAGAAGGCTGCTGATTCCTGACCTGTATGTTATAAACCAGATAGATATTAATGTGTTTTTTCAAAATTCTATTGTTGCTGTGTGAATGAGGAAATTTGAAGTATTCATTGTAGGTGAATCAACAGAACAGTCATTACATTTCTGATGTCCCAGTCCCAAGCAGAAATACAGGCTGGGCAGAGTGTGGACTGAGAGCAGTCCTGAGGAGAAGGACTTGGGGGTGCTGGCTGAAAGCCAACTGTGTCATGGGCTGCATCAAAAAGTGTGGCCAGCAGGTTGAGGGGGGGTGATTCTGCCCCTCTGCTCTGGTGAGACTCCACCTGAAGTTCCACATCCAGTTCTGGATCCCCCAGCACAAAAAGGAAATGGACCTGTTTTAGCAGGTCCAGAGGAGAGCCACGAAGATGATCTAAGGGCTGGAACTCCTCTGCTGTGAAGTCAGTCTGAGAGAGTTGGGGTTGTTCAGCCTGGAAAAGAGAAGGCTCTGGGGAGACCTTCTTGTGGCCTTCCAGAATCCGAAGTGGGTCTACAAGAAGGCTGGGGAAGGACTTTTAATAAGGGCTTGTAGTGATACGATGAGGGGTAATGGGTTTAAACTGTAGATTTACATTAGAAATTAGGAAGAAGTTTTTCACTGTGAAGGTGGTGAGACACTGGCACAGGTTGCCCAGGGTAATTGTGCCTGGATTTGCTGCTTTGAGCAACCTGGTCGAGTGGGAGGTGGCCCTGCCAAAGGCATGGGGGTTGGACCTAGATGATCTTTTAAGGTCCTTTCCAACCCCAAACCATTCTATGATTCTATGTGTTTCATATATAGTAGTTTTAAAGTTCAGACCCTACTTAGGTACAAATAAAACCATAGCCAAATATCCACACTTCCTGTTCCTGCTTTTGGAATGCAGGTTGGCAGTTAGCATGAACAATTGCTCCCTTTATTTGATGGTTGCTTTGGCACAAGGACTGTTGTGGTCATTCAGGTTTTTTCAGCCTGTTATTTCAGCTGCTGTCACCTTGCTTTAATATCTTCCAGTGAGTGTATGACAAAATGATAATTGCTGCAAATATACTTTATAATATTGCTACATACTGTTGTCAAAGGATTCTGTTGATTAAAATTGTCTCACTTTCATTTGCCTAATATTGTCATTTTAATGTGCAACCAGCACAGGCCTAGTTTGAGGTTAGATTAGAAAGAGGGAACTTGACCTTTTTCAGTCGTTTATTTAATGCTGGAGACTCTTGAGCACGAAATATGAAAAGTACTGGCAAAAAAGATAAGCGTGAACTTATAACTTGTAATTAAAACATCATATTTATGTCTGTAATAGTTTACATGGCTCTTCAAAATGTCTTCTGGTTGTGGTTTGGTTGTGTTTTTTTTTTTCCCTTCCAGGTGTCAGCAGACTTGCATTAATAATTCCCTGGGTCGTACTACAAGAGTTGGACAACTTGAAGAAGGGGAAAATGTTGCAGCATGTTCGGGACAAAGCTATCCCTGCCGTCCAGTTCATCTACACGTGTCTCAAAAACCAAGATTCAAAATTGTGGGGGCAGTCCATGCAGCTTGCTTCTCAAAAAATGTGTAATAAATGTGCAATCAGTTTGTTTTGGGGTACTCAATCATTGCGGTTCACCTAGTGTGAACCTTAGCACTGAGCTTTGAGTTTGATATGGGCTTCACTCTGCAGTTTGCTAATTAAAAATAGCTAATAGCTTACAGCAGCCTTCAGAGCACACCTGAGGCTATAGTATGAAATACTTGATTCAGATTAGTGCTTCCTTCACTATTCCTTTATCAATCATTTCTCACTTTTAGCTATATCTGATGGTAAGTGGGGGATTACTTAATGAAAATTTCCCCCAGTTACTTTTACCTATGAGCTAGGGATATGGTGTGTGCTTTTGGTTTTCCACGTGGCTCATTTTCTAGCAAAAATAGACTGGTTTTGAGTGGAGTAGTACCAAAGTAATTCAAAGCTCAGATCTGTGTCTAGGTGACACTTCTCTTCCTTGTTTGGGGAGTATTAAATTTAAAAACAGTACCATGACCACACTGAAGTGTTTCTTATGCTGAGTTACTTCTGAACGTGTCAGCACTGTCCTAACTAAATTTGCAGATGGCCTGAGCGACGAGAACAACGACGATCGTGTTTTACAGTGTTGTCTGCAGTATCAGAACCTCTTTCCTCAAGCTGTTGTCATACTTTGCACGTGAGTTCCTTTGTATATTTAAGTCTCTTATGAGGTGTAAGTTAGTCTCATGCCAAATACACTGTTTGCAAATAATATTTTAAAATTAAGAGCTGTTTCTGGAATAAGCTTTTTGAAGAGCAATAACCCTCTTAAAGCCTAAAGTAGAAGGATTTAATAAACCAAAAAGATTGTAGGCTTAATCCCCTTCATGTGCTTGAGGCCTGACGTAGAATTGTTTACTCAATATTCAAAAATATTACTGAAGTTACAAAATACTTTCGCTTTTTTTCTTAGTGATGGAGATCCAGTCAGATAAATTTGTTTCTGCTCACCTGGTGGGGAACAGTGATAAACATTGTCAGGGGTTAATCTTAGAAAGAGGGGAGATAGAGATAGACAGGTTTGCCTCTGTTCTTGTTTTTTGAGAATGACAACTGACTTCTGAGCATTGGTTCTCGGTTTTACTCATGAAGCTGGCGTTTAAGGGTTTACTGTTCTTGTGACAGGTGCCTTGAGCAGCTTGCTTTGGTCTTTGCTAGAACCATAGTACTGTAAGATATTACTGTCTTCAAGTTACTGCCTGGTTTGCATTCTAAGAACATAGCAATTAGACATCATTGCTGTAGTATTTATAGCTATTTCTTTTCTAAAAGCAAACCTAGAGCCTGAAACATTTTTGGGTATGTTTCTGATTTCTTCAGACTAGATGCTTTACTTCATTTTCCAGGTTAATATTTTGAACGGCTTCTAATTGTTTGGGAAAGAAAATTTTGAGACAATGAAGCTCTCAAAATAAGCTTACCAAAGACAACTTTATCAGTGTGTTGCTTTTTATTGCTTACTATGTAGTAGTGTCAGTTTTATGTCAAAAATTAATTCTCTTCTCCTAGGGATGATAAAAATTTATGTAATAAAGCCATTGTGAGTGAGGTCAAGGCATTCTGCAAAGCTGATTTGTCTACTGCTCTACAGAATCTGAGCAGGCACCACAGCTGTGTTGGGCTGCAACAGTCAAAAGGTGGGCACTTTGTTTAATAGGCACATATACATATGCTGGGTTTTGAGACACAGAGTAATCAGTGTAGGAGAGGGAGAATAGTTTCTGCTACAACTTCAATTTTTATACAGTCTGAATCCTTAGGGAATGCTTTTTGTTTGGGGTGTATTTCTTATTTTCAAAGGTAAATGGTCTTCTGAAAGTTTGAGACTTTTAATAAAATACCTGTCTTGTAAGAGTTCTAGGAAATTCAAATGTGATGCATTTTTGCTTCGTAGTTTAAAACCGGCATGATTTTTTTTGTGTTTATAGTAATTTAAAACCTGTCCTGAACTTTTTGGGACTGAAAAGAGGGTTTTTTTTCCAGTTGAGCCAGTTTGTGTCTTAGTACCTGTAAAATTCAGTATGCTGAGAACACTTGTGACGTTTTATGCCAATACCTTTACCTGCATCCCAAACAGTAGAACTTGATTCTTGGCTTGCCGGTTTGTTTTTCCAAAGATACGAATACATCCTAGGGTATTAAGAAGTGATGTTCTTATACTTTCTGATAACCCCACTGGCTGTATATAATCTAAGTTATTTAAGGAAAAAAAATGTGGAGTACGATCATGAATGAAGAACTCTCTGGGGAAATTAATTGTCTTGGTTAGTAGCTCATAATTAAAAATACCTACAGTATAAGTGGGTATAACTGGAAATACTTGAAACCTAATGAGATGTTGCATAATGTGCAGTTTATATTTAATTATGGGGACAAGTTATTTGTCTACTATCAATATAAATTAGATATAGAAACAGTTGTAATAAATATCTCTTAATATCGTTGGTTTGACAGGTAGACAATTGGAGAAAACAGAAGGAGGTGGTGCTGGTCTTGTGGCCCAATTCTCAAATATGCTTCCAGACCTTATAAAGAACTTAGGAGAAGCTTTATCTTGTATTTTGGAGACTGAAATGAAAATTGTATATGGAAACCTGTGGATGGAGGTGGTTTCTTATATCATCCTGCATGATATTTCAAGTATTAAGATGTTTAAATATCCTTGGTGTTTTAATGATATTAGTACTTCTGCTAAACCAAACAGCTTAGCTGGCTAGCAGGCCAAACAGAAGTTGCAGGCCCTTCTTTCCCATCAGAACAGATGTTTTTAGATACCATGTGGATAAAATTGTTCTTGGCTAAATTGGTTACAATGCAGATACAGAGTTACAAGGGAAGAATTACAAGAATTACAATTACAGAATTACAAGAACCTCCAAATACTCTTTCAGAAGTATTGTTAACAGAAAATAAATACTTGTGTACAAGGCACTTTCAAATTAACCACGCTTTGGTTTAGATTCCATTTTATAGCTGGTAGGGGTTAGCTAGAAGTTTACTTTTATTGCAGAAAAGCCTTTTTGTGCTTTCAAATATAATAATAAAAAAAATTTTCATGGGATGAGTGTTGTTCCACACGATAGAGCTTTGATTAGCTGTTAAGCTTTTAGGCACTTCTGATTAACTTAATTCCTGTTAACAATCTTTCCAAACTCTTATTTCACTTGGTAGTAATAAATCTGAATTTTATTGCAATATGCATGTGTTAGTTCATGTGTGTATAGTCACAGGTAGAAGTGTCTTTATTTTTACTTTTGTAACAGTACTAGAAAAATCAAAGGCATGTTTGCTGTTGTTCTGGTCTCTGTACACAAGTAACACATTAAATCACTTTAGGAGATGGGTATTTGGGGCGTTTGAGGAAAGGGGAAAGAAAAATAATGAAAATGTCGAAAGATGCTTATTATATGCTGAACACTTCTCCGTAAGCATCTCTATTTGAGTTGAAAGAAGTCGTTTGTAGTAGATAAATGTGTGAAATCTGATGAACATAGCCTTATTCCTGAGGAATCATTGAAATTCGACTTCAGCAAGCACAAATTATAACACTGAAGAATAGGGCAGTTGTGAAACGTGGAATTACGTCAATATGAAAATCAGCCTTTGGCTTTATAACGTATTCTCTTTTAGATCGTGTGTCTGAAGCCACCATGGACATTAACAAACTTGCTGAAGTGCTATAAAAAACACTGGATGGCTGTTTTTGGTTATGTTGTACCAAGGAGTTTACTTTCAACCATTGAATATCTCTATAAACACCTTTCTACAGGTAAGAATCTCTGAGAATGTTGATTGTAAACTTGTAGAAAAACTCACTGTTTTGGTTTTAGTAGTCACAGAAGTAGATACTTGGAAAAGGTGCATAATTTATATGTTTAAATAGTAATGTGTTCCATCCTCTTCTGCTTTTGTTTTCAATTTAAGATTATCCAAATGGAGCCATACCTTGGACAGTCTTATCTATTGTAGTATTGATCCACAATTTATTCCCCAGATGGGGGACAAGATCCCATCACTACTTTTGTAGCCAGAATTTAACTGAAATTGATGACCTGAGTTACAGTAAAGAAAAAAATAATAATAAAAAGAAGAAACCTTGTGCTAAGTTCAAGTCTGTCCAAGTTCTTGTACCAGGTTGTATAAATATCCCCTGAAAAAATAATGAAAATGATTTCTGAAATGTTTGAGTTGGTGTTTTGGAGATTCTTCTGTAATTCAACATTCTCTTGGCTTTTTTCTACTTTTTATACAAAGACAGTAAAAGCAAATATATTGACACTATCAGGAAGGTAAGAATTTATTTCACACACCTCTGTGTACCTGCAAAAATCAAGGGAAAAACATGTAATTTATATTAATGGTCACCAAAGTCTCTGCACTATTTCTGTAAGGCAAATAATCTTCCTCCCTCCTTTGCCACCATGCTATACATGGGCAAATGATCAAACGCTCTGTTCTTGGTTTTGCTACAAATGCAGTGAGTTTGGCAATGTAGTTCTTTCCTGTCCTGGGTCTGGTACAGTGAGCTGGGACAATTAGGCACTCCCTGACCATACCTCAAATTAGTGTTGCCTGGGAGACTCCTGCTGCCTGGATCACAGCCTGCTCTGTCGGGAGCCAGAAATACCTGCCAAAACCATGGCCAAACAGAGAAGAGCAAAGGCCAGTCAGTCACCTTGCAGTGCCGTTCGCAGCGCGCCGGGGAGCCCCGCGCGGTGAGGCGGCTGCGCCACCCCCGAGCAGGCT